ACTGCTTTAACTTGTGATGTAAATTGCAAACTTTTGTGGAACGGAACAAAAAATAGTATTTCGCAGATTCGAGGTGTGGTTTGTTATCGTTATACCATTTGGTTGGTCCGAATTTTCAGTGTTCTCCATTGTGAGTGACATACACCCAAAAAGTAGATGATATGCTAACTGCACAGAGACCTTTCCACTGAAATAGGACCCCCCCCCAGAATAAGCAACTTATGTTTGCAAAACCATATCATCTTCTGCAAGGCCGTCACGTCTGGCTAGCTGTCACGGACGGAGTGAATGTGGTGCTGCTCTATGGGCGTTAGAGGACGAGTGTGNGAGATTAGCATGGCATTTTGCTTTTTTTAGAAAACCGCTGTCTACGCCGTGGCGCCCGAGTTCGATGCTACAGTCTGGAAAATTAATGCCCAAGGTGGGTCGGAAAGTGATGAATGGATAATCACGATTGTACGCTGAAGTAAGGGTTTGATCACCATATATCACCGTGACTAAGTGATGTACTACTTACTACACAGCCGCGTCTTAGGATTCCATCAGACATACCGTTTGCTCCAAGGAATTTGTAGTTGGATGAAGATTACTCATGAGCACACAATGACCGGATGTGATAACCGGAAAGTCATGACAGAATTACATTTTACAGATCGCGTTAGGCCTCCAGAATAGGAATCACTAGACCAGCTTAGTACATGGTTAAGAACACTGGGTGATATGTTAGCGTATGACCAACAGTGACACCATTCAATCTCTTGCATTCTATGCACACCTGATTTTTCCATCTGGGCTTTTAGGTATTTTTTCAATGATTGACCAAATAGGCAGACAAAAGATAGCAAAGTTAACAATTAGGCAAAAAGTTAGTTCTGCACAAAACGAACAAAGAAAAAAAACAAGCAAATATCGAATTGCATGTCTATATAGCATGGGTACTACACAATATCGCTATTCAGTTACAAATCCCTAGTCACAAGGAGAATAGCGTATCGCAATTTATGGATCAGTCAGTCAGGCTGGAGTGAACAGGGCATCATCATCTCAGCTAGTAATTGATAAAAATTTCACACGTATTAACACACAAAGATACACAGACACACACGCAGCCAGGCATATGCCTCGGTACGCAGAACGAATGGAACATCTCACGCATTGTTAAAACTATGCGCAACCGCGATTAAATCCTGACAAATCGAACGGCGCTAAGCACATGCTTTAAACAAAGACGTAAACATTGTATAGCTTTGATTTTGCGGTCCCCACCCTCAACCCGACAACTGTTCCGTGTTAGCTCCCAGTGGAATTCCTTTCTAACTGGAGACAACGACACGGTGTTATATTGTTCGCATGATGCGTTTAGTGAAAAATCTGTTAAAGGGGTTAGTCCTTGATTTGGTGTGCCTGCACACCCCTCCCCAGCCCGGCCTGTTCTCCATTTTCGCTTAGTTAGAACTGGTAGTTGAATGCGTGGATATGCAATCAGCGGAGTCACAATATCTATCGGAACAGGACGTGTTGTGTATACGTAATAGTGATCGCGGATCGATTATGCACCGACTGACGTAACGATTCTTATACGCGCTCAAATGTGTGGGTAAGACCACGGCACGCGATAATGAAGTAAATGTTACGACGTTCTAAGGCACAGTTCACCTCATGTAACGGTAATGAATTCAAGCAAACGTTACCCCCGGGTTATTTGTCGATGGAACAAACGGTTCTCCCATTTAACAATAACTGGTTTTCATAAAGAACAATTTGTCGGGTTTTATAGGCATTGAACTTGTGTATTTACTGTATCACATACTGTTGAGTAACTCATTCCTGCTTGCTATCAGTGGCGAAACGCCCTCTTCTGTCACATGCGTCCATATTAAAACCTACTCAATTCTACTGTTCTCCACTCAATCGGCCATAAGTAACTGCGTCCATATCGTCCCGATAATTAACTATGAATCGTAGGCAGAAGACAAAGGGATTTTTTCACACACGCTCAAAACACTCATAGCACAAATCGAATCTACCGCAACATTTCAAAAGTTCAGGCATTGTTTACTACTGTTTATTCTATGATTAATTAATATACGTCAATACACTTTCATATTTTCAGATTATTCAAGCGATCCAAGTACTCCGGTTCCACTTGTTGGAAATCGAAAAAGTAAGCCGCTGAATAAAATCGAGAAATGAAACGTAATAACTGTTCTCNCCCCCACACCCACCCCCACCCCGCATAATCCAGCGAGTCCAGACATGATCAATAATTTTCTGTATTTTTGAGAAAAAAGATGAAACATTTTGGAAACATTTGGTCGATAGCGTATTTTTTTTTTTTTTACCTGTTGTCATATGTGATACGCAAATCTACGTAATCAGTTGACGGTGGGCATGATATTGATAGTATAATAATCGTTTTGAGCGAGTTTTATGCAAGACAAAATCGTACAGGTGGTTAGATGGGGGGAAGAGGAAGAGATCAATTAATGGGAGTTATACGGGATCCGGAGAGGAAGAAGACGAAAAAGAAGAGAGCGGTTTCACGGAAGCGAATGGACCGGGGGTGGGATTGAAAAAAGCCCCCGGGATAAAGGATTGGTGACTTGAATTGCCTGACCGGGTATCGGTGTGTTGATCAAACTAATCAGCACAATATCCGAGTAAATTCTCGGATATACATATATATATATATATATATATATATATAACTATACTTTAATATCCCCAAAATACAAATGTTCTATCGAGATTACTGTACAATTTTGCTATGGTTGGTTAGCGATCACCCAAAAGACAATAGTCGTCTAAATTATACTCATTCCGTATGTCAATTATTCTGTTGAATGTATTGCTTTCATGAAATGAAAACAAGGCTCGTTATTTCATCCTGAACACAAAAAATTGGAACTGTATACAATTGTGATATGTTGCTGCCTTGATTTCTTATTTTGGTTAATAGCATTGATTTTCCCATATGTTTTTTACATTGTGCCATTTTGTTTTTCAGGTGCATGAACTCTGTGATAACTTTTGTTCGCGTTACATTACCTGTTTACGGGGTAAAATGCCGATTGATTTGGTAATTGAAGATCGGGATTCGGCAGGGTCAACCGGTTCAGGGAATAGTCCGCAACCTGTCAGCGGTCCGATACCATCAAACATATCATCCAACAATAGCAGCAGCAACAACAACAACAACAATAACACAAGTGCCAGTGCAGTCAATGCAGTCAACGCGTCAGGCGGACTAACTTCACATTCATCAGGGAACAATTTGTTCAATAATCTTGGTGATGAAGGAAATACGTTATCACTTCAGCATTCTGCACATCATCATGGTATGCTCGGATTTCCGGGCTATCCCGGATCTGGTGTCCCACCTGGCTTCCGAGGAGATCCGTCTTATGCAGCCGCTGCTGCAGCGGCCTCCGTGCCTCATGTTGGCGGCCTTCTAGGTCTTGGTGGTGTTTACCCTCCTCATGCTGCTCCCGGATCATTTCCAGGTGGATTCAATGATCTCCGTTATCCTCAACCCCCATCAGCCGCACATCCATCCCTGGCTGGATTCCCTGATTCGGCCAACTACTATGGCCAGCATCCACATACCCCGGCATCCGGTACTGGTCCACATCATCAAGGTTATCATTCTGGCCTGGTTCGTGATCCTCGTTCCGGTGTCCTCTATCCTCCGTCCTGTAGCGCTGGCAGTGCCGGTTCCGGATTTGGTGGTTTAGATCTAAACTCTGATGGTCGACCGCCTCATCTCGGCTCACCTTATCCCAGTGCTAGTAGTGTGGGTGGAAATTTTAGCACATCTCCCGGCTTCGGTGGTACACATCCCGGTGGTGGCTTAGTTGGTGGAGGCTATCCACAAACACATCAACAACTCTCTACCGACGCACTCTCCACATCCTCATCATCCGGTGTTGTGGGACGGTCAAAGGTGAGTTGTGGTTTTCCACACTTCTACATTATAAAAATGAAATCATCTTTCTTGATTAGTGGGTCGGGAATGTTGGAGGAAACGGTACAAAGTAATGCCCAGTTACAATGCATTTTATCGGCGTTCTTTAACCGGATAGTCAATTAGTTAATATAATTACCCACTTCACATTGTTACACAGTTTTCCATAAAAACTAACCATCCTCGTTTTCAAAAGAATACAATCAGGAGGATAGAAAAGTTATCTTATGTATGAATTACCGAATCATTCAAGTTTATCTTTATGGAACAAAGGTACCACTCCGTAACAGGGGTGAACGAGAGGTCGCTCAGATTCACAATGTTCTTTCCTTTTACTGTTTGCTCATACCGATTATCCAAGTATACAAAAATGACGAAAGCTGTACCGTATCGGTTTTCATT